CTGTTATTCTTTATTAATAAATTAGTTTTACTTTTAGCAAGTAAGTTAGATGTAATTATTTGTTGTATTCATATAATTTATTGTGAAATCTCTTAAATTTAATTGGGTGTTACCCGTTAATGAATAAATAAATAAATAAATAAAAGTGATGAATAGGGGCCCAAGTACCCTACTCATAAATTAGGTTGATTCTGTTTTTGCTCCTATTTTAATATTTTTGGTCAGTTTTAGGATATCCTATCTAGAAGACAACTGAGATTGTTCGATGTTGAGCCTGACTGGCGGTTAAAACATAAAAATTAATCTTGTTCGATTGATGACTTATTTATTTTGTAGAAATTCATGTTGAATATAGAATAAAGAAAATACTTTTGTCTAGTTTCTACTGTGTTTATTCATAACTTAATTGTATGAAAGATAAAATTACCTACCTTGGAGTTAGCAATAGCCTTGTGGCATCGGTAAAACTTGAGTTATTCAAGACATAAACTGGTATACCATTACGAACACTTTCCGATAGAGTATACCAATCTTTATTTGATGGAAAAGAGCTCATTTGCTGAGCTAAACGTAAGTCACCAGTTGACAGCTGTGACAACCTCATCCAGAATCTTTCGATAATGGCTTGCCTGTATAAAGACTTGGATTCCTTTCTCAATATGCAAGTAATATCGTGAAGAAATTCATAGGGGGCTGAAATTCCATAATGTAAAATGAGATATAATAAAAATGATGGTTTAAAAGTGTGCAGATATACAAGATGACTTGAGTAAATTCATCAATTGATTCATAAAGGTCATCAAAAATATATGAACATAAGTTTAGACTTCTGAGGGTTGTTGTTTGTAGAGGTCCGATAGCTGGTTAACGGAAAAAACATGTTTTAAACATAATATTTTCCCAAAGTTATTTTTTTATATCAAAACCATGTATCGAAAGCACTTTCCTTATTCACTTTACCAAGAATGAAATAAGTATATAACTCACCTGTTATAAATACTTCAAAATTTGTTAGATTTTTCACAACAGGCCACTGTGTTCTAACTTT